AAAAAAAAAAAGAAAATGCAAAGGGAGAGGAGCAAGGGAGGCGACCAGAGAAGGAAAACTCAGTAACAGAGGGAACTGGAGGAAACCTGGTACGCTCTGGTGCTCACTCCCTCAGGTCAAACTGCCTGAGTCCAACTCCAATTCTGTCTTTCCTGTCCCCTGCGGCTCCAGTGGCTGAACCAGGCACAGACATACATTTCGGGGTGTGGAAGGAAATCTGATCTCGGGATGATGACGCAATGCCACCAAGGGTTCTTGAGGAGACCGGGGAGGTTTAACACACCGCTGTGTGCAGGAGAGCCCTGTCCAGTGACACGCTCCATCCCCAAGTACGTGTGCCAGTCATCTGTGTCTGCAGACGAACAGAACCTCCGGGACTGTTTGAGACAGGGTCTCAATGTGTACCCCAGGCTGGCCTTGAACTCAGTGATCCTCCTGCCTCAGCTTCCTGGGTCCTGGGATTATAGGCACGTGCCACCACACCCTGCACATTCCTGATTTTTTTTTTTGTCTTTTTGAGACAGGGTCTCGCTATGCAGTTCAGGCTGGCCTGGAGCTCACTTTGTAACCCAGGCTGGTCTCTAACTTGCAATGATCCTCCTGCTTCAGCCTCCCGAGTGCTGGGATTACAGGTGTGTGCCACCACGCCCGGCACATTCCTGATTTTTAAGGGGAATCAGGGCTGTTACAGTAGGAGGTTTTGCTGGGCTGATGTCACTCCAGATTTTCTGGAACACATCTGTTCAATCGGGTGAGAGTTCCACGGATCTTTTGGGACTTATTACTTTACCCATTCAGTGCTGCAGTTTATTCATTTGTAAAATGAGAAAAACTATAAACGATATTATAGTTAATTAGATCATTTTGATGAAGTCTTTTGTGGTTCTCCCACGCAGGTACTACAAAAGGGTAGGAAGGCAACTGTGTCACTGTGGAATCCGCAGGAGTAATTACCGGGGGAGGGGACAGGAAGGGCCCTGGGTGCCCTGTTGAGCCTCCTCCAGATGCTTCCAACAGAAGGGCCTCGAAGCGCACGGAAAGCAGTCTGCTCCTCCTTTGATCACAGTATCTGCTGAGACTACTTTTATAGTTCCTGGCACGAAAACGAAACTTTAGGATCTGCTGTGCGCAAAGATGAAGATGAGGGCATTTTCAAGGCAACACCGCGAGCGTGCCAGCCAGGAGCAGCCCGGGCAAGCCCGGGCACTGCAGACTACCAGTGCCGCGTGTG